CGTTCGTGAATTCAAGCTGGACATTGGCTTTCGTTTTTTTTTTATAATGAGATAATTCTTTCTTTTTTATTTTTCTGTTTTTTCCCTTGTTTTTAGTTTTTTTTTGCCAACTACCGGTAGGTGTAGGCTCGGCCAGGGTAGGGCAACCGGTAGTGGGAGGGTTGGGCCTTGACAACAGGAGGGTACTGGTGGTTTAATAGGCTGTTGTCCTGCCGTCATCTGAATCCTCGAGGCACAATGGTGAGCATCGCTCCACTGGGGCTTCGTCATGGAGGGCGGTGAAGCATCCTTAGGGGGTGTATGCAGAATTGAGGGAGGGGCTTGCCTTAAATCGCGAGGAGGTGGGTGGGTTTTGCCAGGGCTTTTTGGCCCCTGCCGCGCAGGAGGTGGGGTAATCCCCTGGTTAGTGAAAACAGCATCGTGGTGGGAGTTGGTGTTTTTGTATGAAGAGTGTGGGGAGGTGCTATCCGCTTTGAATGGCGAGGAGGTGGGTGGGTTTGCGGGGTCTCTGTCAGCAGTTTGGGCCCTGTGGGCACAGCCCCCTGCCGCGCGGGTGGCAGGGGAATTTTGGTCACTAAATTAGGGTTGTCACGACTGTCGTGATTAGAGTTTCTTGGTGATAAACTTAGATTTTGCTGATAATTTCCGTTGGTTTCTCATTGGATGGGGCTGTGGAGTTGGTTGTGGAGTTGACTTCCGGTTGAAAAACTTGAAATCTAGTGGTGCCCTCGATGTGCTTGGCCGGTGATGCCTTGCCCGCTGAGGGCCCCACCTAATTTTGTAAAGGACGCCGGGCCCGGTTCGCGGCTTTTATAAAGACATGTATTCTTTCAAAAAAAAAAAAAAAAAAAAAAAAAAAAAAAAAGGACAATTTTTTTTTTTTTTTTTTTTTTTTCTTCTTCAAAGAAAGATACAAAAACGTGGTATCGTTTTTGTCTCAGGTTGCACTCTGTATTTTTGTTGTTTCTTGGCTTTTTGCCGGTTTGGGGGGCTTTTTTGGGGGGGGATTCACTTACTTCTGGTGATCCTGGACCTTCTTGTGAAGAATTGCAATCTGTGCGTCTTTGTCCTCCAGGCGGTCGTGCAATTTTCGGAGCTCTGCGTCCTTGTCCCTCTGAGCTAATTCTCCAGTCGTGCGCTCCAGCTCGGCAGGCAATCCTTGTAGTTTTCCTTGCTTATCATCTAGCTCTTGATGCAGGTTACGTAAATGCCCTCGCTTATCTTCCAGCTCCTCACTCAATCCATGCAATTGCCCTTGTTTATAACAAAGCTCCTTGGTTAACGTGGCCAATTCCTTTAATTTTCCTTGCTTATCCTCTAGCTCCTCACACAATTCACGCAGTTGCCCTCGCTGATGCTCCAGCTCCTCTTGCAATTTGCGCGACTGTCCTTGCTTATTGTTAAGCTCCTTGTGCAAAGCCTCTAGCTCTTCCTTCTTCTCATCCAGAAGCTGCTCAATGTTTCTAAGGTCAGGCATCTGACAATGCAGTGACAGTTGCAGAACCACTCTGCTGATTTCTTTGCTTTTTTTCTTTTTAAATTAGAAATCTCTTTTTTTTTTTTTTTTTTTTTTTTTTTTTTTTTTTTTTTTTTTCACCCTTTTTTTTTTTTTTTTTTTTTACCCACGAGTACCTCCGTCCCTCTTTTTGCCGGGCTTGAATTTTCACTGCGCTCCAAGTTGGTACACCCCAGGTGCCACTCCATTTTCTTTTCTCGTACTCTCACGGAAATAACAATAAGAAGAAAAAAAGCATACTTGCGCGCCACTCGCGCACATGCGGCACATTGCGCACGTGGCGCACACACCTGGTGCACCACATGGGCAAAATTCGGGGTCAGCCCCCCCCCCAAAAAAAAGGTCGGGTAGGGGGGGAATCAAAGTTCCCACGCCCAGCCAAAATTAGGACATAGAAATGCCCCCAAAACTGTGTGTTGCCATGTTCGCTGTACACAACTCCATGCTATATTCAGTGTATCTGAGTCCTTTCCGAGGTCCAGTACAGTCATGATGAGGACGTGTCTGTCGAAAGGTTGCTTTCTTTTCTTTTTTTTTTTGACAGAACGGTTGCTTTCCTCTCATTACTTCCAGATATAGAAAAGGACAGAACTGACAGTTGTGTTTCCTTGGTGCTTTTGCTGGGAAAAAAAAAAAGAGAAAGAGCACGTCGGCAAAAAGTTGAAAACCAAGAACGTGGCAACATACAGTCACTATACACATGCACATGGCAACATACGTTCCACTGCATCGCCAATAGCCACGAAATGGACGCTGTCAGAATTTGGGTCCGAAATCACTTGGCATCGTTGGCGATGTGTCGCCAAGGCTTTCCATTTCCCCTGCCTGCAACGGCCCTTCGTGGAGGTGCTACTTCTCAGCCCTCCGCGAAATGGTTCGTGTGGCCATTGCCCCTGACGCAGCGGTCCTGACAGTCTACCTGTGTTGTCCCCTAGTGTTGGCCAGTTTTCGCCGCACCTGGATTGATTCCAGTCCGAATACGTGGTGAAGAGAAAGCCGCTGGAACCAAGAGCCGTTTTCCGCCAGAAACATGCACTTTTCGGCCTTGCCAAGTCTCGCCACTGTTTGTGGCGGATGGCGAGTAGTGGAACGATGCCCACAGTCGCTATAGACATGCACAAAAGACAAAACATTTGGCCGTGTATCTTGCCATGTTCTAGCTAAAGATTAATTCTGAATTTGCACAAATTGGAGAGTAGTCCAGTGACGCCCTATTACAACTTTCTTTTCTTTTTTTCTTTTTTCTTTTTTTTGGCCGCCAGAATCCGGAGGGCCTCGTTCAACTACACATGTCCGTTATAGTGCCTCTGTCACATCAGGACTGCAAGTAAACGAAAAAAGAAAAATAAAAAAAAGGACTGCAAGTAATCTTCAAGTCCAGTTGTAGGGTGGTGCAAAGCAAGGGCCTCACTCCACTACTTAGCACATGCACAAAAGACAAAAAATATGGTGGTGTATCATTCCAAAATGAGAATGAATCTTCCGCTATAAACATGGGAAGATTCACAGCCATATTTGTTGTCTTTTGTGCATGTGGAGAGCCAGAGCTACCGTAGGCCCTATCAGTAAACAGCCAGAGCTACCGTAGGCCCTATCAGTAAACAGCCAGAGCTACCGTAGGTCCTATCAGTAAACAGGCTGTAACGGTTTCCCAAATAAGACAAACAAAAAAAAAAAAAAAAAAGGAAAAACAACGGGCCTATCGGGGTGAACAAAACACCCTCCATCGAGAATCCATAATGATACAGGCATTTTGTTCGGTCCGATAGTGTCAGGAGAAGGGTGCCACGGCACACCAGGCAAGACGCCTGTATCAACAGTAGAGACACACACACACACCATGGGGGGCACTCGGGCGTACTTCAGCGCACTGCCCGCGCGTGGTGCGCATGTGCGCACACATCCCCGTCAGCGCATGGCGCACACGGCGCACCGCTTAAGTGCGCCGCAAGTATCTAAAAAAGAAGAAGAAAAGTCGTGGCCATGAAACTCACAAAAGAAGGAAACAAAGCTTCGGCCGTGAAATGCAGTTGTATACATTCTTGGAAGTAGTAGTGTGAGTGTGCCCTCAGTGAGGGCATCTCAGCCCCCGGCCAGGTTGTCAGATTCCAGAAACACAAAACAAGGGGAAAAAAACAGAAACACGGACTCGGCCGTGAAAATGGCTGGATACATTCCTGTCAGTGCCAGTGTGATGGGGGTTACAATCCTCTGGGGGTTTTACCATCTTCTCCCCATCCCGTACTCATCATCAGCTCACCACCTTCTCACTCCTGCTGCTATTGGTTCATGTGTGTTTTTTTTTTCTTCTTTTTCTTTTAAACCACTAGTACCTCGGCCAGTGTTGGGAAATTACGATGTTTTGCCAGTTCCCGAAGTTATGGGGAGTCCCAAGAGGCTCGGCATCGATTCCCAGACACGAAAAGAAAACGGTTTCGTAATTTTTTTTTTCGGTCGTGCTCGGACATTGGCGGGCCCATGGTGGTTCCTGGACAGCGGGCGCATTGTGGAAACACTACCGGGTCCTACCGGGGACGGGTTGGGGTGTGGCAGATCGGCCGGTCGCTGCTCTGCGGTCGCCAGTGGATGGTGGGTGACTGGACGACCACCTTCGCGGGCGAGCACCTTGCATCGACGCGCGAAGGACCGCCGCCTAAGGACGTCCCGCTGTAGGGTTCTCCGCAGGGTGCCATCGCCATCGCCTCTCTCTCTCTCTCTCTCTTTCTCTTTCTCTCTCTCTCTCTCTCTCTCTCTCTCTCTCTCTCTCTCTCTCTCTCTCTCTCGACACAAACACACACACAC